TTCAGCATCATACAGTGCTCATAAAGTTGTATGATGGGGCTGATTCATCTGATTAAGTCAATCTGAACAGCAGTATAGTCGCTCCACAATTGAATTGTTTCTAATCTGTTCTTATGGAGGACACTACATCAAGCCCTGTGGCAGATAATACAAAGAAAATGAGACGGGATACAAGCTGACAACAAAGTGCATGCCTTTAAGCAGCCGTTCAGACTCTTCATTCATTTTCAGGAAGATATTTTTATATTGTCCCTGTAAAGCTGCAGTTTTAGAGAGCATCATCATTTCTAAAGGAGCTTCTGACATCCTGGATGGTCTGCAGCACTTTGTGCCATTTTTGACATGAGTGACTGTTTTTAATGCATTTATCATGACAAAGGTTTCTTCAACAGAGTTTGCATGCTGCCAACAGAAATTGTGCAGGTTTTTTTCTACATAAATTTCAAACATGGAAAATGAGTTCACGTCATGAAAAATTACACTTGTGAAAAAATATATAGGACTTTTTTTTTTAACTAAATGATTTATAAATGAGTATTGGGAATTAGGATTTCCTAATTAATAAGTCTTTGTTGGGAATTCAATTACGTATTATTAGGGGAGAAAAATCCAGACGTTTTCTAAATTATGTCAGTGAGTAAAATTAAACGCACTGCAAAATAACCTCCATCTGTAACTTTAAATGGTGCAGGATGCACCATTTAAACCTTGTAGATAATAATAATAATAATAATAATAATAATTTTATTATTATTATTATTATTATTATTATTATTATTATTTTTATATTTTTTCCATTGTGGCTTTTTTTTTTTTTTTTTACATTTTAACAAGTCCCATCGCATTATGAACAACATAATCTCTGCATAATAAATATAATACAACATATATAATTAAAGGCTTTGTAATTTTTGCAGTTCTTGACATGTGAAGAATCAATCAGTGTCCAATCAGCAGGATGTGTGGGTTTTTATTGCTGCAGTGCATGTTTATATTTATACACATCATCGTTGGTTTGATGAATAAATTTAGGAACGTTTCAATAAACAGCCATAATTCATAGTAGTTATGTTTTACTTATAAAAAGTCCAACAAACACAGAATTCTCTGTGGTTTATTTTCGTTTTAATCTAAAAGTATCAGCTGCTGCTTTAAGGTTTCTGTTCCAGCACTATGTGGGGGCTCTGACCTGCACCCTGGCCTCGGAGAGTCCTAGTCTCTGGCTCAACTCCTCCCTCATGAACGCGTCCGGGTAGTGAGTCTCGTCGAAGAGCCGCTCCAGCTCGTTGAGCTGCTCCAGCGTGAAGTTGGTGCGACTCCGCCGCTGCTTCAGTTTGCCCTGCGGGTCCTCGTCCTCCGACTTCACGTCCTCCTTCTTCTCCTTGCACTCATAGATTCCTGTTGAACAGAGCCGTGGTTGGAGGAAGAGGAGAAAAGAAAGCTTTTAACATTTTATCTATAGAGGAGCAACACGCGCGCGATTCTGGTCCCTCGTTAAGAGTCGCTGGGCTCTGTCAGGGGCCCTCAGGGCCAAGCAGGTTTTAAACCCCAGCATGCAAACTTTAATATTTGTTTCAAAGAGGGGAAAAAATCCGTGCGTAAAGTCTGAAGCTGCGTCAGCCTCGTAAAGATTTAGAGACAACTGTTTGTTAAATTACTCCTGGGCTGATGGTGATGTATGCTATAAACAAAAATAAATAAAAGTCCTAACTTTCCATGGTTAAATATTTAAATGTCTGTAATTGACGCGATTTTCCTGGAAAAAAAAGTTGCACAAGTTTTTTTTTTTTTTTTTTTAACCAGGCAGTTCAGTAAAATGACTGTTTCTATTATTATTATTTATTTATTTTTGCTTTGTTTTGCTTTTTGAATGTCCAGAGGGCCAGATTTAAGGTTTTTAGATTTTTCTACCTGGATTATTGAGCATGCATCAGGATGTTTCTATTATTAGCAGACATGTGAACTGCTACTGACGTGAAACTGATTTATCCCAAAAACTGTTTTTTGGGGATTTTTTTTTAATCATCTACTAAACGACTCCTGCTTTCCGACGGCTTGTTTGATCGGGGAAGCAGAATAATCCAACAAGCAGCTCAATAAATCCAGATTAAATCTCTGTTGCAGCTGCTCATCGTACGGGCCTGACGGTGTCCAGGAAGTATCACCGCTTTTTAACCTCGGGTGTTTGGAAGATGTATAGTGCTGTCACTTGATCAGAACACAGTCTGGAGGAGTCGTGTAATGCTGTAATAATTAGCTAACATCTCAGATTACATTTTGAACGCGCGGAGGCAAAATGCCATGAAGAACTCAGCGTTAAATGGAATGTGGCAAGCCTTGCGTAAAGTTCGCGTAAAGGATTTACGAGAGTTTCTTTTGGCACCAAATAACATAAAGTCATTAAAATTAATGCGCGTAGATCATTAGATATTTTAAGTAGAATAAATATATTTGGAAAATTCAATATATTAGAAATCTGGCGGTGGAAGTCTGGAAACAATGATGGAAGGTAAACGACGGACAGGCCTCTTCAATCATCACAGCTTTCTCGTTGTTTTGAAAATGTCTTCACTAAACGCGTTTTTCCTTATTTGTTTATTTATTTATTTATACTCACGTGTTGTTCCTCACATGAACACGCTGAGCTGAGTTCACTGCTCCACACGCATCGGGGCGCGCTAAAACTAACGGGAGGAAATGAGAACTCACCCTCCGTCGCCCTGGAAACATTAAAGTCCTTGAGCTTGTCCTTCTCCAGCTCCACGTGCTCCTTGTAGAGGTGCACGGGGCAGTGGTTGGTGTCTGTTATGTCCTGCAGGTTGCTCTCTGGGCTGGCCAGCTCCCGCGCGCGCGTCAAGCCGCTCTCCAAAACTTCCCGGTACGTGATGCTCTCCTTGGTGCTCTCCTTGCTCTTCTGATCGAAGGACTTCGACACGAATGCCGTAAGTTCTTCCATGGTCGGTGGGCTCTCTCTGCGCGCCGCTCAGTAGTGATCCTGTTTCTTGTTCTTTGGCTTGTTTCTTTGGCTGAAAAAAAAGAGAAAAAAGATAAAAAAAGAGGGGAGAACGGAAAAAAAATCCACGTCTGCACAGAGAAAGGCTGTTTTTGTGGGCTGACAGCAGCAGCGGAGGATAGAAGGGGTGGAGAAGGAGGTGAGATCACTCCTGCTGTCGTGACTGTGTATTTGAGAGCACACTATTTATACACGGCCACCTCAGCCCGCACCCCCCCCCCCCACCCCACCCACTCGTCCCTCGGATCTCTGTGTCTTGAACAATTACAGGCCGGTTCTACTTTGCAGAATTAAACTTTCAGCAGTTTTTTTTTTTTATTCTTTCTTCTTCTCTCACAAATCAATGATGGAGCTGATGTAGGCGGTTAATTGAATTATGGAGGGGGGAGGGGGTCATTAAAACGCGCACTCCTGCAGGAGGCTCCATGGATGTGGCTGTTGTGTCCAATTAATTGGAGGGAAATTGAATTAACCTGATCCGGAGATGAAAATTCAGGATTTATGGGAATTCTATCGGATTTATTTGTTGACTAGAACGAGTTTAACTCTTTTTTTATGAACATCTAGTGAATTAAATGTGTCAGAGAAATTTATTAAGGTGCGTAAAAATTACGACAAAATGCACACGAGGGATTTATATTGGTATATGAAATAATTTAAATTATAATACCAAATGTGAAAATGTGAACTATTTCATCAGATTGTGTTTAAATGTTAAATTGGTTATTCTCTTTGCACTAAATAAGGCGTTCTTTAAGTATTTTAAAATAATTTGTGTTATTTCCAACTGCAATCTTACACTGTTTTTTTTTTTTTTTTAAGAAAAGTTGACAATCTAAATGCTTAAGTTTGTGTTTAACATTTATCTGAACTAAAAAACAAATACTTTGAAAAAATTTTGCAGTTTTGGTTTCAGTTAAAAAAAAAAGTTCCCTTTTTATTAATAAGACTTTTCATTTTTCATGAGGAAAAATAAATGGTTTTATCAGTCCAGGACGCAAACAAACAAACAAACACGAAGTGTGTGTGTGTGTGTGGGGGGGGGGGGGGGGGGGGGGGGGTGGGGGGTGTTCCTCCCTCCTCCCTCTATCACCACTAACCACCACCCGTGGGTTTGTTCGCCCTGAGCGGCCCACCGCGCTGAAACTCATATCTCAGCTCTCTAACGACTCAGTTTGATGTCTTTCCATTTATCAGCCAGACTCGCTCCACTCCAGTGCGTCTGACGCGCACGTCTTTCCCCTTTTTATGCCACGAGCTGCGCTCTTTGCCCTTAATAGACCTAAATCCATCTTTAAGACGCAAAGTTGTGCATCGTACGCTAGAGACTTCCCTCTTCAAGAAGAAAGACAATAATCCACAGTTTAAGTTTTTTTTTATTATTAAATTAGTTTTTTTTTTTGTCTGTTACGTCAGATTAAGATATTAGTATTTATTTATTCGTGCTGGTCATTTATCTGAGTACAGAAAAGACGTGAGATATTCTCCGTGAGTGTTTCAAAAAGAGGTTTTATTTTTTTCTTCCAACGTTTTTTTTGTTTGTTTTGATTTTACTCTAAATACCTATAACACGTTTAATATTCCTAACTGCACCATTCTTCAAGCATAATGAAGAAAACACATCGCCCACAGGCCTCTGTGGGCAGCGCGCGATGAAATAAATGACGAACACGGCGCGAAATTAGAAGAAGACAAGGCGCAGCGCTGTACCTATTCAATATTTTACTACCGTGATATTTTTCATGTTGTTTTTTGTTTATTATACAAGCAATAAGCACCCTTTTCTCTAAATATTTATTGCAGAGGAACTATTCGGGCTCATTCAGACTGGAGGGACTTGTTGTCCAATCAGGAGCGGCGCGCAGGCACATCAGAGGAAGCTCTGGTGTCGCTGCGGTTTATAGTGGCCAAGAAGAAGAAGAAGAAGAAAAAACTCTTAAAGGGGCCTCAATCAGATTTTTACTCACCGTTTACCCCCCCTCCCCCCACTGTTTTAACACCACCCAAACCACCCCGTCTCTTTTGTTCCACACGTGTTGATGTGTGGAAAGTAACGTTTTTATTCCAGGTGTTGTTGTGGCTTTTCAAACAAAGCTGCACATCACAGGACAGAAAAACACCTAAACAATAACAAAATAATAATAAAAGTACAATAACACAGCTTTTCTTATTATTATTATTATTGATGTTGTTAATATTATTTCAAATTATTCATTTGATTTTTTTATTAATAATGAGAATTTATTATAACTTTTTTCTATATTTAGTCATTGACAATGTGTTTTTATTTCTGTGTAAAATGTTAACAATTAGAAGAATTTTAAAGGAGCTTTGATTTATTTATTCAATAAAAAATACTGAACAGGGACTAATAAACCTCCATAATACTTTTCTGTTGTTTAATTGTTATTATATGTTAAACATGTTGCAGGTCAATGACGAGCATTTTATTGTTGTTCGTCCATTTAATGAAGCTTTGTAAAAGTATTCAGACCACAAAGCTCTCAAACGAGTGTGTGTTGGTGGCGCGAGGTGTGAAGGAGAAGAAAATAGCAGAGGACACATCAGGTTGTTTGGACGATGTAGCCCACGCAGATCATGAATGTGACTTGCACATCTGGACAGCATTTTAAACGTTCTGGCGGCCTCACAGCTCTGAGCATGTTGGAATCTGCCATTTGACACAGAGAGAGACAACACGGAGACGATCAGCAGTCGTCCCCCTGCTTGGACACAAGTCCTCAGCTGAGTCGAATAATCTGAAAGAATAAACAAAGTTTTGACCAAAGTGGTTTAGTTGTTTTAATTCTCTAACAAATTATCTGATTAAAGCCACAGTTATTAACTCATTTCCTTGTCTTTACATTATGCATCACACAAGCCATAACGCATGACAGATGTGAAACTTTGCTCCACAAGAGAAGAGCGATTATTAAAAATGTAGCTTTTGCAACTTTATATTTTGTATTCTGGTTACTTGAACATGTTTTCTTACAGGTGTGCTTATCTCCAAATATCACCAGTTTGTCCAAAAGAGACCGTCCAATACAAAAGAGTAAAAAGTACTAAAGTGGTAAACTTCAATTTGATTCATACAGATGTGATCCGGAGCAGTTTCCAGTCTCAATCTTGTGAGGATCTCGGCTCATGGTCATGTTAATGGCAGTGATTGTGTTTATAAGAGTCCTCTGGCTTGTCTGTGGGTGCGAGGAACTCCTCGTTGTTATTCGCTGGCTGCCGTCATTTGGGTCCTTTCTGCAGAGCTGCAGTGAGTCCACGGGGACTACAGGCTGTTCTGTGTTCAAATGACTTGTCTGCCATCTAAATAAAGCTTTCAAGGAGAAAAGAAGAAAAAAAAATCAACAATATGATGAACATTAGCTCACACTCAGCTGAGACGTTTTGGGAATATGGTGCTTCTCCATTCAGGGTTGTTATTTTTCCATATTCTCTAACTGCTATCTACCCACAGGGCACCGAGGCCTGGAGTAGGAGACAGAGGAGGCATGAAACTGACAGTATACCCTTAAATGCACTGCAGGATTGCATCGCCCAGTAATCAACAGAGAAAATATGCTCAAACACACTTCTCTTGCCCTAACAAGCTTGTTTGCACTTTTGATTAGCTTAAAACAGATCTCTTTTTATTTTATTGCAAAGTAAAAGGAAGACAAATCAGCTTTTTTTCCCCCCACACGGATGCTGTTGAGCTTGTGGTCAAGTCTGGGGGGGGGGGGGGGGGGGAGGATATGCAACAATTTTTTTTCAAATCAATAGCATCAAAATAATTCATGACTGATCATATGGTGTTTTAGCTCCTTTCTTTGCAGGAGAAAATCATGTTTTGTTTGGCTCCCAGAGGGTGACATGAAAGACCCTGAGAGATGTGAGGGGGTGGGGGGCATTGGAGAGAGTGCATGAGGATAATAGGAGGACATTGATCATTTGGTGCACAAGAAGACAACTGAACCTGTGAGTCAAAGCTAACAAGATGTTTCATTTATACATTATTTAGACACGTTTTTTTTTTTTATATATATGGTGCACATTTTGTTGCATCAGGTTTGCATCACCATCTTTGGAGGGAACACGGAACAGCAACCTCAGCTGGTGGGAAGAAAATCCGGCCATTATAGTTTTAATCTAATTTTATTTTTCCATCCACCAGTTACTAACAAACAAAAGACAACAGAGCAAAAAAGAAAACGATAAAACATGAGTTAGTTTGATCTGCATCTCACTTTGATCGTTCTTAAAAATTACCAACATGGGATCAAATAAATCTACAATTTGGGCTGCATTAGTCAGTCAAAACTTCGAATAAAAATTAATTTAGTAAATGTGGAGCTGGATCAAGTCCTCTGTCGGCAGGGAAACTGTCCTACAGACATGTTAACAACGTCTTCAGAGACCAATGAGGCCCATTTACAATAAGTGTATTTTTTAACTGGCTTTGTGTGTGTGGATGTCTCACCCCAGCAGGCTATAAGGGGTCCCTCTGGTGTCAGCCCGAGGGTGGCCATTTGAGCCAGACGGCCTTTAATGGAGTGATGCTACACTTTCTCAATCACACAATTAAAGCCCGGTCTGCAGAGAGACTTCTGCACTCGCAGTGCAAGAAAAAGTGAAGCAGAAAGAGGAATGGCATCTTATAAACAAAGTGATTTGTGTCATGGCATTGAGCAAAGAGAAGTCCTTGAAAGATGACTTCATTAGAATTAATTAAAAGAACTGAAACCAGCACATGAGGAAGAAACACTGAGGGGTAGGTGGTGGGTTTGAGGGAGACTGAAAGATAAAGAAGGTGAGGAAAACACACGAGCGGTCTATTCAGGAAAACAGAAGGGGATAAATGAGAAACAGATGCTGGAGGAGATTAGAACAAACAACTGACATGTGTTGATAGATCTTGTTTTAATGTGTTTAAGAGATTAGCGTGTAATCAAACCAACGCATGATCAAGATCTTAAATTTCACGTTTTTACATGGTTTCGCTCTCAGAACATCTCTGTGAAATCCCCGACTTAACTACTAACAATTCAACACCTATAGTGGCTTGTTTGTAAAGGGCAGCAGTTTCTTTGGTGTTAGACGTATGCTGTCTTCGCCGCAGGCTGTGTTTGTTGGCTGAAGGCAGCATTTGATGGGCCAAATC